CTAAACATTGTACAAAAAACAGTTTCGAACCAATTGAAAAAGTCTAAAAGGCTAGAAAAAAGTCATGCACCAAACTTCCACCTACGAATCGCTACCATTTCTGAAGTGGCTAGCGAGTGATGATGAAATTTGGATCACTTACAGCAACTTCAAACAAAAAGTAGTCGTGATCGAATTACAGTGAGCCGGCCAGGTTTTATTGTGTTTGGTGGGATTGACAAGGAATTATCCACTATGAGCTGCGCATCTACAGCCAAATTCTTCATTCGCATCGTCAGCAATTGGACCATCTGCAGAAGCAATCGCACAGAAGCCACCAGCTTTATCCAATGGTTGGGGGATTCTATTTCCTCGGAATCAAGCCAGACCACCTTGAGCGTTTCTTCTGCATCAACCAAATAGTCCGGGCATCGCACCAAGTGATTACTAACGTGTATGTTCCTGTCTATGGCGAACGATTTGGCTGTTGAAGACTTGGCCTCCTCAAGAGGAGCCCGTTAAAATTGATTGCCTCAATTTATTGCCAATAGGAACAAGGGTTGCTACGAGAGAGGCATAATGAAATTTACTTCAAAATGGTTAAAAAGTTACCGAGCAAAACGGCGGAAATTTGACATAAATCGGATAATTCTAAATGCGATAAATTTGAAGGCTTTATTTATCGAATGCAAAAATAATGGATTACTTTTTACTAGCCCAATATTTGAAACAGTATGAGAAAAATTAAAAGACAAAATGTTTGTTTTTGTTTTTTTTTTCCTTGATTTCTTTACTCGCATAAATCGTAAATTTATTTGCACGACTTCATTTCACATTCACACTTAACAACAATTTGTGTTTTGTTGTATTGTTTTTTTTTTTTTTGTTTGTTTTCATCATTTTCCAATCGTTTTTCAATGCATTTCTTTATGCTAATTCTAAATGTAGTATAATATAATACATATTTCTGTATTATGCTCTTTGCAGAGCTTTAAACAGTAATTATTTAATTTGATTATTATTTAATGTTTGAATGTTTATTATTAAATATTTTAAATTTTAATGCATTATTTGGAATTTATATTTTATGCTCTAAGTTGTATTTATGTCTGTTTATTGTTTTACATTTCAGAAGCAAGTTACATAGACTTTTTGCTCTTGTTGTTGTTTTTTTTTTTTTTTTTTGAATTTGTATAAAAAATAATAGTCATAAGATTTAAAGTAGTAGGTTCTTGTTGTGGTAATTTTTAATTAGTTTTTTTTTTTACATATGCACAAGATAAATTACATTTACATACATATGTATGTATGTACGTAGTAAGTATGTATTTAATATTTGAATTATTTTTATTTAATTTATTTAGCTTACAAACTAAGGCAAAGTAAAAGCTGAAAAAGTAGTGCGAGACGGCTGTGTGAAAGACTCGGGCGGGTCGTGTGAGGTGTCGGGGCCTAAGGGCAATGGCGAGCAGTTGAAAGCAATGATGAAAAAGGAAGTAATATAGGAAAGGTATTTTTTTTTTTTTTAGAGATTTTAGTGTTTTAATTTTGAATATAAAGAAAAAATATTAATAAAAAAAATGAATAAAATTATTTCTTTTTTTTTAATTGGCAGTAAATATAAATTTTAATGGGTTTATTTAGTATTAAGTTATAATAATCAGAGACCCATAGTAAATAGATGGATGATTTCATCAATTCGCGTATTCATGCTTTATAAACACTAATTTGTTGTTCCAGAATTTTTGAAATTCGGCTATGTAGTAGTCTTTTATGTTTTTGAAATTTCACGCATTTAAATTAAGCAATTATTAATAGTAAAACTTGGAATTTATTTTAGAAATATTTTTTATTATGTGGCAAAGTTAAGTTCATAAAAAAAATTGATTGTAATAAAAAATAGTAGAAAAAAAGGAAAGTTGATTTGAAACACGAATTGCTTTGATTGAAAACTTTAATTTTCTTTATATTTAAATTTTCATCATTAAATTGATCTGAAAATTATGGAAGGAGTACAATATTCGGATGATCTGAAAATAAATTTATTTAAAAAAGAATCGAAAATAGAGAACAAAATTAATTTCCTTTAAACTTTATATATATACTTTTTCTATATTTATTTAATGTGAATGTTGTTAAAATCAAGAGCTTTAAAAACAATTTTTTTACAAAAAAATTTTCATTGCCATGCAGGAAACTGAATTTAATAGTTTTAAAAAAATAATTTCCTTTATATTTGAATATTGTTATATAGAAGATTTGAAAAAAAATTATTTAAATAAATATCTGTTATTAATTTTTCATTACTTTAAAAAACGAAATCGGATTTGAGATTAAAAAATAATGATAATTTATTTAAGCTTTACGTTTTTTAATATTTATTTAATATGAATGTTGTTATAATCAGAAGATTTTAAAATATATTTTTTTTTTTTTTTTTCAGAAAACAACTTGAGTTTTTCATTTCCATAAAAAGGAAACTGATTTGAAATTCTAAGAGTTTTTTTCCTTCAAATTTTAATTTTTTTTTTAATATTTGTTCAATTTGAATATTGTATAATCAGAATATTTTAAAATATTTTTTTTTAAGAAAAATATTTTGAATTTTTCATTACCATAAAAAACGAAACGAAAAAACATATTTTATTTTAACTTTATTTTTTAATATTTTTCAATGTGAGTATTGTATAATCAGATTTGAAAAAGAAGATTGTGTAAAAAAAAATTTAATATTCATAAAATAACTAAAAAAACCGTAAATATTAATAACCTTTCAACTTAATTTTTTAAATATTTTTTTAAAGTGAATATTGTTGTAAACAAATAACTTAAAAAAAATAATAATTTTGCATTGGCACAAAAAGTAGACTGGATTTAATAAACCTAAAAAACTAATTTCCTTTAAGCTTTATTTTTTTAAAATTTTCTGAACATTAATCTAATACGATTTGAAAATATATTTGGTATAATCAGAAGGTTTGTTAATTATTTTTTTAAAGAAAATATTTTAATTTCAACAAAATCGAAAACTAAGGAATTCTAATTTTTTTTATTTTACATTACAGTTTTTTAAAGATTTAAGTAATTAAAATATTTTTATAATTAGAAGATTTGACAATATATTTATTTGAAAAAGAAAACAAATGTTTTTTATTTAAATATAAAAGAAAACTGTGTTTATAGCTCTTAAAAAATGTATTTCCTTTAAAATTTTTTTTTTTTAATTTTTCAGAAAATTTCAAAATATTTTTTTTTTAATCTTCTAAAAAAATAATATTCCTTAAAACTTCATTTTTATTAGTATTTATTTATTAATCACAAAATATTTTACTCAAATAAAAATAATTGCCATTTCCATGTAGGAAACTAGATTTAATTAGCCTGATAACACAAAAAAAAAAAAATTATATTACACCAAACTTTCTACATACTTTTCATTATTATTTTATTTGAAAATTGTGTATGAGGGTAGAATTCGCATTCGATGTAATGGATGTATAAACAAAAATAAAATATTTAAGAAATAAAACTAAGTTTTATTCAATATTTTTTTTTTTTTTTTTTGAAAATTAAAAACTGTATTTGTTGAAAAATTATTATTTTTTAATAATGAGAATACTTGATCAAGATAAACATTTGATTGTATGTAGCACTAGAGTAAATATGGTGAATATAGAAATAGTTTTCAACAAATAACTTCTCTTTAGTTATTTATTAAACGCAAAATTCAAAATATTTCTTGAAGCAGCATTATTCCTGGGCAAGTAACGGTAAAATCGAGTAAATAAACTTTAAAACTGAATTTTTTCTAGTGATAGTATGTATATACATATGAGCACATACGTATGCAGTATGTTTGTAAAAACACATATATAAATTCGCATGGAGCTCAATGAATAAATATTAAATGAAAAAAGAAAAGTTTAACCCCATATTATTTGCAAAAGCAGAAATTGAAAGCGAAATACATACAGACGAAATTCATCGGAAGAAGCGCAAACCAGTGAAAAATTGTAAATTTCCAACCTAACCTCAATCAAAAACTCACCAAAGTGAAGAAAAAGTATAAAAACCAGGAAAAATCAGAAAAATCACATTATTTAACAGAGTTTTGGGCAGCGAAATAAACGGTCCATTAAACACAAGTGAATCAAATCATGCCGTCGCTGACACCACACTTACTTTATACATACTTTACACATTTGCCCTTAAAGTTCCTTGTTTCAAGTTGCATCTTAAAAAAGCTTTTGAGTTATTTTTTGCTGTTCTTTCTTTTTTTGTCTCGCTTTGATGTCGTTTATTACCACTAATATATTTTGTAATTATAATTATTTAGTACATAACTTTTAATATTAACATTAATATTAATTTGTTTTATAATTTAATTTGTAATAATTAAGTTTAGTTTATTCATCATTATCATTACTATTAACTATTTACATTGTTTTTTGTTTTTTGTTTTTTTTTTATGTTTGTTTATTTATTTTCAATTAATTTTCATTTTTTCTTCACATTTTGTATTTTTATTATAATTATTACATTTATATATATATATATATTATTAATTTATTACTATTTTTCTCTTGCCTGTTTCGAACATATTATATATGAGTGTATATGGGTGTGTGTGTGTCTATGTGGGTTTGTATGGTAGTTATGAGGAGGGGAGGGGGCTACTACTGATAGTTGCTTTTGTATTATGGTGGCGGCGAGTACGATGTATATATGTATGTATGTAATAAACAAATATTTCGCAAAATGTATGATGGATTGGCAAATGGCAATTAAGAAGACAGAACGAAGCTGTTGCATGTGTGTATGAGCATGTGGTAGCGGAGTGCAAATTACATATAAATTTCGAAAATAATATAATTAACAAATATTACATAGAAAAGTTTTGAGTGAAAGTTTTTTTCATTTTTTAAATATTTATTTAACACAGCAATTGTTTTGTTGTTGGACAGTTCTTGTGATTTATTTTTTTTTTTTTTTATTCCTTAGTTTTTTGGTTTTCTTTTAAATTTCACTCTCACATATAGAATCTGCACAACTTTTAATTTTTTTTCTTTACAATATATTAACTAATTACTGTATTGAAATTTTGAATTTATTTCAATTATCAATTTCTATTAACATTACATTTCATTCGAAAGAAAATTCATGTGAATATTTTTTTTTGTTATGGTTTAGTAAATGCTATTTTTTGTTTTAAACTTTATTATTTTTGCTTAAATATGTTTTTTGTTTTTTTAATTTTAAATTTCATAGTTTTCCTAAAGGTTCTAAACCTCTGTGGTGCTATTTGTACATATGTATTTGCGGAAGTATTTGGGCGTGTATTGAAGAGTTTGTATGGATTGTATGGAGTTTCATTATAGAGCCGCCGACAACCGATTGCCTTTTATGCTAGTGGAAATGTGCAGTGCGTGCATAGATAAATGATGGATTTTTTTTCTTCACTTAAAAGGGCTAATGTGGGGATGCTGATTATTTTTTAACATTTTTTAAGAAAAACTTTTACCAAAAAAAAAAAACAGAAATAGATGCAAAAATTATGCATTTTGGCAAAAAAAAAAACCGTTTCGGTAATATTGGCAAAGAAAATCTGCTGACTATTGAAATCGTTATTCAATTATTATTTTTTTTATAATACATTTTTCAAATATGCTTATGCAAACACTGCACAGTCTACCTAAAGCAAATTCTCCAAAAAAAGGCAACTCGATTGAAAGCTAATTAAATAGTTTTAGATTTATTTCAATTATTTTTTTATCTTTATTTTATTAAAAAGTAAAAAGTCGATCTTGAAAATAAGATCTGATACACATATATCATAATAAGCGAATGTCGTGTTTTTCAACTATTTTTTTTATCGGTAGCACTTATACTGCAACCATCCTCTTGACGTTTCTAACTTTTTATGCTCTCCGTCTCTTATTTATGCTCCTCCTCCCTTTCTCTTTCTCTCTCTTTCTCTTTTCTTTTTCTAGCTATTGCGCCCACTCTCTTTATAGTGTAGCTAGTAATATACTTCTTATCGAGGCTTACTTGAATTTCTAACTTTCCATTTATTTTTTTTTTCTTTTTTCGCTTTTTCCTTTCTTTTAATTAAATTTACAATTTTTATTAGCATAAAAAAATAAAAAAATGTTGGAGTAGAAATTAATAACTAAAGCGTCACTTAATTTATAGCTAACGCCTACTTATAATCGTATTTTCTATATAACGATTTCTGTTTAATAAAAAAAAAAAAATATATATAAAACAAAAACAGAAAATGAAAACAATTACAAAAAATGAAAATGATGCATATTTTTTGTTTGTTTGAAATTTATATAACTTAAAGCAAATGTAAATAAATTAAATTAATTACAAAAATGTTCTATGCATTGCATTATTATTAAGCAGTTTAATGAACCATGCGAACTTGTGGGTAGTGGTGACTTATGAATTTTCCAATTGTTTGTTAAATTTTCTGTAATATTGTATTTGTTTTCCTTAACTATTATAGCCCATTCTGAATGTTGAATGATGTAGGACAGTTATTCAGTGCTGTTGATTAAAAACCTAAGAAGCTGCAAGCAATTTCTAATCGAATGGTATAAAAAAATGTAATTATTAAATCTCCTTATTTGTTTTGTAGACCGCAAGTATGAAATTTTCTCCTGAACTATTTTATAATACCTTTTTTTAATAATTCAAAAATATTTTTTTTGTTTTAACTGGCTGCGCACAAATAGCGCTGACGCACTTTAGTTTTTGCTATTCAACAAAAGAAAAAAATTTAATTCCTTTAAATGTTTTCGCTTTTGCAAAGTATAAGTTGTTGAATATGAATTTAAGATAAATTAATCTTTCTTGCCCGGTATTTCATACGTTTTCGAACACACTACCCACATTACTCCTGCTTCGCTGCAATTCATGCTGCTTGTTGGTTGCTCTTGTACTTACAAAGTTTGAATTTTTCGTTCTACACTCATTATTAATTAGGCTTTTCTTTTTACAGTAACAAATTAGATGCTGTAACGTTGTAGCGGGATTTCTTGTTTTTGCATTCATATCTTGTACTAAACATATTTTGTTAGCATTTTTCTTTCCTTTCTGTTTTTGTTTACTCTTCTTTACTATCTCTCGTTTCTTTTCATTTCATAGCAGCTCAACTCATTAAGTATATATGTATGCATATATTATATATACACGTATAGATGCATATATATGTATATATAAATTAATATATAATCTACATTTACATTATTAATTATTATTAACAACAACATCTAGTAAAATTACAAGAAATTGGTAAGCTATAAGTTGTTGTATTTCTGCTGCTGTTGTTGATAGTAGTTGTTTGTTGTTGATTGCTGATGTTACCACCGCTGCTGCGACGCCTACTTATGCTACGCGCTTGTCAATGCTCATTTTGATTGAAGATTGAAGAAATGTGCTCATGTTGATTGAAGATTACTTGTGTCATACTAAATCTGCATGTTGATTGTGCAGTGGTCGCTCTAGTTGCAATTTGCAATATCTCGCCACCTTCGCAGCAGCAATACTTCATTCATTATTTTTATTTAAAAAAAAATTGTTTCACATGCCCATACATCTCACTTTTTGCGCCACCACAGACCTGCTTTTTGGTTTGCACCATTAAATTCACTTGTCATCGCGTTCAAAGTGATGTTTAACGCCAAAAATGCCTACTTTAAATTTACATGCCATCATTTTAATCATAATCACCACTATCAGTGCAATCAACCATATTCAGAGTTTTCACCTCATCATCTCAATAACGCTAACAACAAGCAGCATATTTGCGACTGCATTCCAGCTGTAGTTGTGCAACACCAAGCGCTGTCACTACAGCTTTATCTGCGTCAAGGGCGACAACGTCGACTATAACGACCGTGGCCAATGCCGTCGTGCTCATCCACCATGCAGCGCGCTCACACTTATACTCATCATAATCATTTTTTCTTATGGTTAGTTAGCTCCCCGTGTCTCACCTGTTGATTATTGCAGAGGCGAGCGTATTATTGTTCGCAGACGCAGTTATCGACAGACTTGAATTACCACCACCGCTGCTGCCGCCAACACTGTTACCGCTATTACTATTACTGTTGCTATTACTGCCGCCTCCACCGCCATTACCATTGTTGTTGCTAACAACACTCTCAATACTCTTGAGATCATTGCAGCTGGTCGTTAATGCACCGCAAGCCGTCGTGGTTATAACATCCGCCGCCGCAGCTGTGGAGTTCGACGAAACTATGCTCACTAGCGATTGTTGTTGTTGATGCGTCGCCACTGACGAGGACAATGTCGTCGCATTCGTTGTCATCTGCGCCAAGCTAACACTCATGCCATTGCCACCACCACTACCGCTACCACCGGCAGCCGCTACTTGTATCTGCTGCACAGTAGTCGCATTGCCCACGGCGGAGCTCGTCGCTATCGGTAATGTACGCATATTTGTAAATATCGTCTGATTGTTACCGATGTGTCGACGTAAGAGCGCATGCGTCATGCCACCGGGTCCGATTTGCATCTGCATCTGGCCGGAATTGTTCTTTTGCAGCGGTTTCACATTCAACAGACTCGTATACAGCACACGCTTACTGTTTTCACCACCAGCAACGCCGCTGCCGCCGCCGCCGCCACTGACCGCAACGTTCGTGACATTCGCCGCATTCCCATCCATGTTAGAGGCGCCTATTATGTTGAGTATGCGCTCACGTTTCAGTTTTTGCTGCTGCTGCAACGCGGCATTCGCTGTTGCCTTATGCAGCACGACTGCTTGTTGTGGCACCGTTATCTGCTGCGTTTGTTGCTGTTGCGAATGACTGACTGCTGCGGCAACAGCCTTAGCGTCCACAACAATACTGCCATGATGCACACTAACACCACCACCACCACCACTACCTCCGCCACCCGCGGCGCTACTACCACCCGCATTCGAAGTGGACACAAAGTTCACTTTTAAATTGGAGTTCTGCAATTCTTTGTAATGATGCAACTTTTGCGTTAAGCTATTGCTGCTGTTGCCATTGCTACTGCTACTGCTATTGCTATTACTATTGGCCGCTTGTTGCGCCGCAACAGCATTGGCCAGTTCGCTGGCTGTGGCTATTGTAAAGTTGGTGCCTCCACCCGCAGCGTTGTTGCTGGTTAGATAGATTTTATTGCCGCCGCCGCCACCACCGCCACTGCCCTGATGCACCACTGATTGTGATGACGTTATTATTGCCGTCGTCGGTTGTAGACTGTAGTTATGATTGGCTGCTATTGCCGCTGAATTGTGCTTTTGTTGTTGCTGTTGCTGCTGGTGGTGTTGTTGTTGTTGGGAAACATTCAACTCGGAAACCAGTAGTGGGTAGGAGGACATCTTTATCACTTTACCTGCCTGCATTTGGACTTTTTGCAGTTGCTGTGCGACCTGAGACGTCGTACCGACCAATGTGGTGGTCAGCCCAGCACCGGTGTTCGTTTGTTGTCCATCATTCACTACTCCGCCGTCATCGTCTTGTTGCTGTTGCTGTTGCTGCTGTTGTTGTTGCAGCTGTTGTTGGTGCTGCAATTGTTGCAATTGCTTAGAAATGTGAATTTGTTGCTGTTGAGCGGCTTGAGTGATGATTTTTCGTTGTGAGAATTTGCGGTTCAACAACAATTTGTTAATATCTGAAAATTGCAAAAGATTATAGCTTTTGTAAATAATATATATTTATGGAGAAAATAAACACCGCAGCTTGCTTTTGACCCATTTTAGTCCAATTCGTTGTATATAAATATACATATGTTGATGCAAAATCACAAAACTTCATAATGACGAAAATGTCCCGCAAATAATTTTGATTTTAACGTTAACAAAATAAAGTGTCCCGCTCACCTGTCGCACCATCAGGACCGTTCAAAAGTCGTTTTTGACCCGGTCGACTGGCCCACACAATCTTGTTGCCACCAGAGCCACCGCTGGCTGCTGCCGCCGCTGCCATTGTCGCTGCTGCGTCTACACCACTAATAGTAACGGCGCCACCGCTCGACGTTGCCGCATTCGACGTGCCTCCACTTATTTGACGCCACACTATCTGTTGCGTTGGCTGATGCACAAGTTGCTGTTGTTGTTGTTGAGCCTGTCGTGTAGTTGTTGTAACGAGAAGTGGTGTCGGGCCTGCAGACACCGATGAGGACGACAGATGCTGCACCGTACCACCGCTGGTACTGGAATTAGTCAAATGCTGTACGGTGCCGCCGCTAGTATGTACAGATACTTGATGTCCAATCGCCGTGCTGAGAATGTTCACACCACCGCCCGTTGAACTAATGCCAGATGCCGGTATTGCATTGCCATCTATGGTTAGTACATTAGTATTGGCTGCCGATGTGACCGCCTGACTGCCCGACGCACCATCATTATTATTTTCTAACTTCACATTGGACAGCGTGATAACCGACGGCGGTGCTGTGCTTGTCGACGTCTGACTATTAGGAACTTGCGCTTGTGATGCGGATATGGTTGCGTTGCCACTGATGAATGGTGCTTTTTGTATGTAGAATTTTTGGGTGCCACCAATAATGCTGCCATCCGTCGCTGTGCTGGTGGTGTAGATGGTGTGATTTCCCGTCGCTGTTGCGCCAATGGGTGTGAGTGTGGGCTGTCGTAATTGCGTCGTTGTTACGGTTGTAGTGCCGGTATTCGTTGGTGTTGCCGACACATATTGTGTTATGACCGGACCGCCACTGGACGATAGTAGATCACGTTGCATTTGGAGTAGTTGTTGGCGTTGTTGTAATTGTTGCATGACATTCTGCAAACGTGGCTGACGCAATTGTAATATTTGATGTTGTTGTTGTTGCTGGTGCTGCTGCTGTTGCACCTGCACTTGTTGAAATTGCTGTTGCTGTTGTTGCGGTTGTTGCTGCTGCTGCAGTGCCGGCACGTTTGTTGATGTGACAGTAATGATATCACCAACCGCAGCCACATCTTGCAACTGCACCTGTGCCTGGTGTGATTGCTGCGGCTGCTGTTGAGTTACTAATTGCTGTTGCACGTGCAGCTGCGCCTGAGGTTGGCGTAGTTGCACGATATCGGGCACGGCTATTAGCTGTGGCTGCACATTTTTCGAAATGAAATTCGGTACGCTAGCAACAGTTAAGCCATTGCCAGTAATGCCGCCGGCACCACCGCCAGCAACACTGCTTTGTAATATTTGCGCGGGTAGGTTTGATACTGAGGCATTTGCCTGCGGCTGTGCAGTTGCTAACCTGCTAGCTGCAAGCGCTGTGTCGGACACAACATCTGCGGGCTCTGTTTTCACAACTGTATCGGCTGTTACGTCAGGTGCGTCGACGATCTCTACTTTCGGCTGCTTCTTTTGGAAAAATAAATCATCCGGAAGTGCGCAACTGACATCGGTTGTGCTGAAACTTGTACCGCCATACACAGCACTACTACTACGCCACTTGCCGCCACCCTTAACTCGTGATGAGCGTCTGCCATTCTTGTTCTTCGGTTTGTCGTCGATACAGTCGAGCAAATCGGCTTCAACATCTGCAGCCACTTCATCAACTTCAGCTTCACCTTCCAAGATGCCATTCCAGAAGTTCGTTGCCTGATTTAACGTCTTAATGTCATCACATTCCTTCAATATATTGACGAGCATATTCTCATCAGTCTCATCGCCATCACCTAATAGATTTATATCAGTCAGCGAGTCGCCACTCAAATTGAAATCGATAGCAGAGTTCGAGTTGCCGGCAGCACCGACATCTGGACTCTTGCTACTACCGCGAGTTACATCCGGCGCATAATAGGTTTGTAGTAGCTGTGTGTCCGGTTCGAGATCGGCATACTTGAAGCTGTCACTTACGAATAGTGCATCGTCGGAATGTGTATCCCATAGGTTACTCAGCGTCTGCTCGTCCGTTTTTTGTCGGCGTTTCGTATTTCGAGACTCATTAAAATCACATGGTAGCCGTAACATTTCAACTGCTATTGGCGTTTGTTGCGTCCACTCCACCAGAGGCTCTGTGGGCGTCAATTTGCAATCATCATTGCTATCGGACAACTCATCGGTTGGAGTTTTCGGGCGAAAGTGCAACCAATCACGACGTATTTCTGAAAGAAGTTCATTGCAGACGTCCAATCGCTGGCTAGAGGTCGGCGAAAGACTACCGAGATAATCGTAATTATCATTGAGCTGCGTCGTTGAGTCGTTGTCAATTAAAACATTGATGCCTTTACTGTACGCGGGGTGTTCGGTTTGGCCTTGTTCGTCCTTCAATTGATTTTTACGTTGCTCTGTTAAGCGATGTTGTTGGCGTATAACATCGGGCAATTGATTTAACGTTGTCGAAATGGCGGTGTCCTCATCGCCAATGCTGTTGTGCATGTAGTTAGTGGAGTTGAATTTCGTTGTGTTAGTTAACGAAGTAGTTGACGCATCGCTGCACTCAAGCGGCTCCTTTTTCACCGTATGTCGTATTATACTGCTCAATTGCGCCAAATTCACATTCTCTTCATCCTCCAGCACCTGCAAATCTGAGGCGCCCGTTAATGTAGATGCCGATTTTCTTATACTACTTAATGGTTCATTTGAATCGTCGGCTGAGGCACCGCCACTTGTACAGTCTATTAGCTCTTGCTTGATAGCTTTTGTTAAGGGTGCGGTTGCCGAGGACGACAACATGGACGTTCCTGAACTAGACGACGTCGCAGACGAAGCTGCCACTGCCATTGCGATTGCTGCTGCTGCTGCTGCAGCGGCGGCTGTCACTGCTGACGATGACATTGACTCCGTCGTCGCTGGCGCAGGTGTTGTTGGGCTTACGCCTTCGCTTTTTATCACATTACATTTATCGCTAACGCCTACATTCTTATTTATATTACTACTACTATTGTTGTTGTTATTATTATTGTAGTTCATCAAACTGTTATTGGAACGATGATTTGGCCATTGATGCTGTTGCAACTGCTGCTGCTGCCGCACTAAATCGACCACCACTTCCTCAGATACGTCATCGCCATTCAACTTTTCACGTTTCACCTTTTCACTCAACAAGAAACTGCTTATACTATTCATGCTCTTCTCATCAATCAACTTGGACAAACGATGCAGCATTCGTGGTGGCAATGGCTCTTTAGCCGCAAAGTTTGTCTGTGACGCAGACACAGCCTTTGAATCCACAGCGTCTACATTATTGAAGCGACGCCGCTTAGTGTGCTCGCCATCGTTTGTATCGACAGTTACATCAATGGCTTTTAGACGCTGCTGCCGCCGGCGGCGATGTTTTTGCTGCAGGCGCAAACGTTGTCGTTGCCGATGACGCAGCATTGTTAATGACGAAATGTAGTTGGCATCGCGCGAGATATTTGTATCAATGCGCAAAGCCTCCTCATGGTCGTCGTCATCATCAAAGTCAGCCTCAACGCCATCATCATCACTGACTTGTGTGGCAATAGCGTCGATTTTGTCATTTGACACCTCGATGGGCTCGACTTTGATTGTGGAATTGGCGGGTGTTTGTGATGCAGGCGTTGCGGCTGCTGACCCAATTGCAGTAGCAGGCAAGTCAACAACTGTGGGTGGCGAGGGGGGTTTCACATGCTCCTTCTTGACGGTCGCACACTTCGCCGCAGCTGAATTTGTATCGCTTTCAAATATCGTATAGTCAAGCTGTGACCAAAAATCATCCATATTTGAGGAGATGCGATCCAATACGACGCGACCGCCCCGACCCATGCGACGTCTCGCGAACCCAATGCAACGCGGTCTAAAGTGGAGAGTGCATTTTTTAATTCTTATTTGTTTTACGCAAAAAAAAAATATATATTCACCTTGGATGCCTGATGGATGTTAATGTAAAACGATATTTCGAATCACCAAATCCATGGTCCTCCTTCGCTTCCCAAGGCCAATTACCATCATGCGCTAACGGCTATGAGCAAAAATAGAAAACGAACAAAAAAGTGAAAAATTTAGTTATTCCAGAACAAATCTTCAATCTTCAATCTTTAAATAGCAATCCTATTTATACTATATGTGTTAGAGCAAATTGCTTACATACACACACACACATACACCCACATGCTATCACAAATTAATGCTCATTGGTACTGTGCCAATTGATTCATATCTAATCCCTAGCCATCGCATAAGCTCACCCTCTGATAGTCGCAATGTTGCTTTCGCCTAAATGCAAACGGTGTCTCCTCCTCGCTTTCGGAACCCATTTTGTGCGTATGATGACCATTACCACTACCACCACCAACACCACCCAAACCGCCGCTGCCGAACTCTTCCTCCTCCGTTTCGATATTGGATTCATTTGCAGCCGGCGATGAGCTCTGACGATGCAACTGCAGTAAATGCTGCGCGCTTAACGCTGAACCTGCCACCAATGCAGACGTTGATAAAATACTGCCATTACCAACGCCACCTAAATACTGTTGTGGCTGTTGTTGCGATAGATGCTGCTGTTGCTGTTGCTTATCGCGCGTCAATTTGTGTTTCCGTTTCTTATACGGCCGCTTCTCCTTACGATTGCCAGTGCCATTTGCGCCAGCGTTAATTGCATCTACAGAAATTAGTTGAACAAAACGTATTTTACATACATACATACCTACATACATATATATATAAAGCATACTTATGCATATTCAGTCTGGTACTCACCAATCGTTAGAGTCGAAGAATTCAGGTACTGCGAAGCCGACGCATAAAGATGGCCACCACTACCGGCCGCCACATTATTGGCACCCGCCGCTGCTGCGAGCAAACCACCCGGACCAAGTACACTGCCGGTACCATGCGCCGCTGCACCTGCCGACACAACGCCAGCACTCGTGCTGCCTGCTGTTGATCCATGATGTGAGTATTGATTCGTATACAGAGGGGCAAACGCTGGCCTGTGAGTTGACAAAAAAAAAAAAAAAATTTATAAGTAAATTTCAGTTTCTGATAAATAAAAGTGTAATCATGTGATGCGTTGTACCTGGAATTCTTCAAATTAGAACTCAATTCGGAGAACAGAGCACCACTGAAGTCGCGCAGCTGATATCGCTTCTCGAAGATTTCGATAGATAAATGCAATTGCTCACGTTTCGTCTTCTCGCGCCGCTTTACCATCTCCAGTACGGTGGTGGCACGCTGCAGGTCGCGCCTAATTATATATACGCGAATTGATTAATACGATTTATGTTATGAGAAAATAGTTACAGAGGCTCATTGAATGCTAGACGTATGTATTATTTATACGGGTTGGTAACGGTGTGAAGTCATCAAACCATTTTGATATTAAAATGTCTACATTTTCAAAACTACCATACAGGTTCTTTTGCTTTCTAAAAAGCAGTTGCTCTTTTTTAATTGGGGGGAAAAATTGCAAATGTCATAAAAATTAATTTTAAAAAATAAGGAAACCTAAAAATTATGTTTCTCTTTTTGGCCGATTGATTAGCATTGCGTACTGACTTTCGAAAGGTGCAACATCCAAAAAAAAAAAATTATGGAAAATTAATTTAAATAAAAAATTAAGTTAAATTCTCTAATTGCGGTCGCTCCTCGGGAGGGAATGACAGCCGTTCGGAGGCAGCTTAGTATAAACTGTACTGATGGAAACACATCAAGACGTAAAAATTGCAAATTGGAGGAGGAGCTTGACCGAAATATCGCTTCAACGGTTACAAAGCGCCACTGAAGCATAATTTTATTTTTAACCTGTTGCACCTCTTTGCGGTGCTCTTTTGATACCCATCTAGAGTTAAAAGCTGTTTACCTCATTCATTTTTCGGTAAAATATTGTGTTCTCAAATTCCTTAAACATTTTTACTTCATTTTTCCCCACTTATATTTACTTTTAGCTTAACTTTTGTCACCCTAATTGTGTTATCTGTATACACCATTGTTTAACTGAAATCTTAATCCAGCGAACGTGCGGCAGCACACTTAGGCTCTAATTACCAGAAAGGCAAGTAGAGCCACATTACTTTGAAAATTTTTCATTAAATACTTTCGAACAAGATTTTACTTGCTTTCAATGGTTTGTCTTATAACAAACAAAGCTTGAATAAATGTAAATATATATTTTTTGTATATATAAAAATATATTACTTCTTTATTAATTTTTTTCCCTAATTAAGATGTTAAGTTATAATCACAACCTTGAACAATTTAAATTGATTTCCTAATTTGAAGGTGCGTCTCACAACTACATACTCGGCAGGGTAACTACATTTATTACCTACCATTCCCAACTAATTAATTTATTTTATTTAGTATCATTATTTCGATCGTAACTTTATAATGCCATAAATACTTTACAGCTCATGCTAAATTATTGGAACTTTTTTATTATGCAGCTACTATGCAATCGGCACATACTGATCATGTATAGAATTTAAGCAAACTTAAAGAAAATATAAAGTTAAGTGACAAAAAAAAAAAATCACACTGCTTCCCACCCCTCAAATACATAGTATGTTTGTATGTATGCATTTAGTTTTTCGTACGCACCTCAGCTTGAGCATCTTCTCATAGGACGTTTCATCGTTTTTGCGATTCTTTCGCGTTTGCATCTTTTCGGTGCGCCGGCGAAACGCTAAGTACGGATTGTTCGAAGATGCGCCTGGACGATTCTCCGTTTTCACAGTCAGTATCAGCGGATGTTGCTGTATTATTTCAAGTTTTAATTTAGCAAAATTTCTTGATACATTACATAACATTTTTTTTTTTTAACAATTCTAAAAACAACAACTCTTTTTTTTTTGGGAATTTAATGAAAAAAAATAAATTATTATCCAAATAAATTGAGTGCGACTTTTAAGAATTTACGCTTATTTTGCTTTTCTTTTTAATTTCTTTAATTTTTTCGCTATAATTTCTTTATGATTATTACCATTTTTAAGCGTTTATTAAGCCAATAATCGTAAACAGCTATGCTGACTTCATCGTCCTGCTTCAGCAATGCTTTCGCCTCATTTAGCTTAACGACCATTTGCCCTGAACTCTTCTCCAACCGATCCATCATCTGCTCAAACTTCAGTGGTGTCAGATCGAGACGTCGACTCTGTTGACTGATCCAAACTTCGTCACTACTATCCATATCGTAGTCTGGCACATCTTGTTCGAGACCCAACGCTGCAGACAACAAGATAAGAGTGAAAATTTATTATGATTAGAAAATATTTCAAAAGTAAGAGTAATGTGTACTTACGTTGCATGTGTATTAGTTGACGGGGCATTTTGTAATTTGGGGGATACATGCGGTCGTAGGCTTCCTGGTCGGTGGTAAAAACCTCTGGCGTTGGTATAATGAGGCCTGTGCATATTGCGCGCTGCAGATGATGTTCCTGTAAATGTGAAGTGATGGTAAAAATTAGTATTTGGTTATAAAATAATTAAATAATTTTTTTTTATAACATAAATATGTAAGTTATCGTTATTAGACTAATAAAAGTTTTGTAAAAGTTGACCGTTCATTTTGATATTCCGATTATTAAAAGAAAAGGAGCTAAACATAACTGTAAACTGTAACTACACTCCTCCCAATCAGTCCCAAAATTTAATTCAGTTTGTAAAATGTGTGAACGTTAAGAAAGAAATAATGAGAACAACATTAAGCAAAACAAAAATCAATCGGTTTATATTTCACTGCTTTAAATTAAGAATCTAAAACGGAAATTGTGATAATGTAACTCGGCGCAGGAATAAAATGTCTCTGCTATTTTACGCAATAAAATTCAAAGTCCGTAAAATATTTACGGTGACCTATAGAAAGAAGAAAACTGTTAACTGAGAGTATAGAAGTTTCCGAGAAGCGGACGTCACATCGATCTATTCGAAAAAAAAAAAAAAAAAAAAAAAAAAAAAAAAACAATTTATTTTTAAATCATTCGATACATGAGTTCAACATACAGTGAGTTCAAAAAGTCTTCACGTAATTGAATATTACGCAAATATGGCAACACTTCGTAAACTAGAGCAGCTTTAATATGGTATTATTTACTACGTGATCATTTTTTCAACTCACTGTATATGTAGCACTGTAAATTGGCATGGGGAACAATTGGCTTGGGGAACAATTGGCATGGGGAACAATTGGCATGGGGAACAATTGGCATGGGGAACAATTTTTCCCGGCAAGTACTCAAAATGGGTATAAAATATTATAAGTCCCACTTCCACCAATAAGCAATATTTGCCGCATTCGGGGCTCGAACCATGTTATATCTCGAAGGTGATCGCAATTGGTCACAGAACTTGTTATTTAAACTTTGGGGCCACGTGAAAGATAACATCTACGTTTACAAGACGATCTCGATTCAAGACCACAAAGATGGAATTCTTGTTGCTATTGACGGCATATACCAGCCACTTTATGATTTGGTGATGGAAAATTTCCATTCCATTAATTTTTTATTTTGTTCATTAAACTTCGACTAAATTGGAATTGATGAGGGCTACCTTCCCTTACTAAATGATTACATATAATAACGTTTTTATTTTCTCTAACCGCAATCTTTATTCCGTATGTATGCATTTATATATAACTAAAGAAATTATATAAGGAAGTACGCAATAGTAATATACATAGGCTTTGTAAAGTCAATTATCGGCAGGAGTGATACATTTCTGTTTGGTTTTCTCGTTTCTCATCTATCATATTAATATAGCAGTTACGAATAATTTGAATTCCTTAGTTGGTAATCAGTAAATGACCCAGAAGCATGAAGGCTGCGCTGCTGTTAACAACTTTCCTTATCATTTTCGTTTTGATTATTAAATAAAAAGTACTTACAAAAAATCGCAGTAAAAACAACACTGAAACTCTGCAATGACGAATATAAATCCATCGAGTCAGAGCCATGCAAAGGGCAATAAAATTGTAATGAATCATTAATTACATACATTTACCAACATATAAATATACGTATGTATAGTGCATAAGTAGACACATTCATATTGTTATTGTCGCGGCTGCACCTACACATACATACTTGTTCCACATTGATGCGTGTAAAATACAGCAAATGGCATGAAAAAAAATTAAAAATAAACTAAAAATTGCAATTCATCACACACAATTTTCATCACATGTTGTCAACTATGCGCCGCTCAACTAACGGCAGGCGAAAGCGGCAAATCGACGAATCGAGACGTCAAGCGATATATAAACACTGCCTGAGTGTGCACAAAACATGTGTTTATAAAATATATTCACACATATATTTGTTTATTTATACAATGTTCGCTTTCATGCCACACTCAGTCCTATCCGCAAAAGAAAATGAGCGCTTAGATTTTGTAAAATTCAAAACGAGGATAAATATTCGCGCCAACTGCTTTGAAGATCCCTAAGAGACATTTGTGAGCCTATTGGTTTGTTGCCTGGCGCAAAGTAGTAGTAGTAGGTGGTGGTACGTACAAGATATTTGGTCAGCAAACTAGCATTGCATAAATACGTATGTATGTACATAAATAACATATACGTACAAACAATAGTGCTATAAATAAGATTGAGCTCGTGATGACGCCACTTTAGGGTTGAAAATAGTTTGGGGTCAATTCTAAGGCGTTTGGAATAATTATAAATAGTAGCGAAAAAGGAGACGGTTATTAGAAGAATTTGTTTATAGATTTTTTATTAAAAATGTAAGATGAGCTTGGCCAAAAGCTGCTGCGGCAAATATGTACAATTAGCATTTATTAATTTATTCTTCTTTAATTATTTTTTCATTCATTTTTTCTTCTAAACATTAATTTTAAATTTAATTATTTATTTTTGAATTATATACAAGTATGTGTATGTATCTTGTTTAAGTACTATTTTTGAATTTTTCTTTTTTGCGTTCGTCTTTTAATTATTACCTTTTATAAAATGTATTTATTAATTTCATTACCTTTTTTGGTAAATTTTTGTTAAAATCTTTTAATTTCTTTTTAATTTGATATTAACTGTTGTTAAAATTTGAATAACATTTTTATATATTTTTAACCTTTTTAAAATTTTTAATCTTTTTATCACCTCTGTTTTCAAATATTTCGACCTAAATTTTTTCAATGTTTTTTTTTTTTTAATTTTATAAAATCAATTAAATATGAATATAAAATAAATATATATTTATGAATAAAATAAAAATAAACGTTTTTTTAGTTTATTTACTTATTTTGAAACTTTTTATTATATCTTTTATAATATTTCTTCTTAATATCTTTTAATATTTTTTATAATCTTTATTAATATTTGTTTATATTTTAATATTTTTATTAACTTTTTTATTTATTTATTTTTTTTTTAAGATGTCTTAATATTTTATATTCTACTTTTTTAAATATTTTATATTAAATTTTTTAAATTATGTTTAAGTCTTTTAAATGATTTTTTTATTAATTGTGCTCAATTTTTTATATATTTTCTCAATCTTTTTAATTAACTTGTTTCACTAATTTTTTATTATTATTAAAAGCCTTTTTAAATATAATTTTTATTAAAATAAATTCATAAAAAGTTAATAAAAGAAAATATATAAAAAATTTAATAAAAAATATAAAAAAAGTTAATAAAACAAGTGTAAAAAAGGTATTTAGAAATAAAAAAAAAGTAAATAACAAGGTAATAAGAAATATAAAATGTTTATATTTGTTACTTCCTTTTTTATTTATTTTCTTATGTTTCCTAATAACTTTTTTATATTTTTTTATTAACTTTTTTATCTTATATTTTTTGTTTAACTTTTTATGTTAAGTTAAAGAACTTTTTCATATTTTATTGATTTTTTTTAATATATTTTATGATTATTTTAGCTTGTTTTAATAACTTATTTTAATATTTCATTATTCTTTTCTTTATTAACTTTTTATATATTTTTTTTAAATTTTTTATATATTATTTTATATTTTTTATTTTTTATTTATTTTTATTTTTTTATATTTTTTAAATTTATTTATAAATATTTATATATATTTATATTTTATATTTTTTTATATTTATTTATATTTTTTTATTTTTTATATTTTTTTGAATTTTTTAAATTTTTTTAAACTTTTTTATATTGTGTTTTATATTTTTTTAATTTTTGTTTAAATTTTTTTATATTTTTTATATTTTTTATACTTTTTTATATTTTTTATACTTTTTATATTTTTTTATATTTTTTTATATTTTTTTTATATTTTTTTACAATTTTTTATATTTTTTTACAATTTTTTATATTTTTTTTTATATTTTTTATACTTTTTTATATTTTTTATACTTTTTATATTTTTTTATATTTTTTTATATTTTTTATTATTTCNAATTTTTTTTTTATATTTTTTGAAGTTTTTATTAGCCTTTCTAAATTTGATATTAAATTTTTTTGGTATATATGCAAAAAAAAAAAATTAACAATCAAAACCTAAAGTATGATAATACCAATTTAGTATGGACTGCATATATATATATGTGTGCAATTTCAATAAAAAAAACAACAAGCTACATATATATTTAGATATATATGTAATATAAATATGTATCTCATATACATAAACAAAGACAATTTGATATGTACATTGTATGTATGTATATGAGAATTGCTTAATTGTAAACGTAAACCAACGTGGGAGATAATTTAACGTAATTTTGTTGTTTAGTTGTGAAATTGATTAACATAAAACGCAAACTTTAAGACAAGAATTTAAAAAAAAAAAACGTATTCACCGAAATTCCCAAAAAAAAAATCTCCTTTATAATTGGATGACTATCAATCAGAAAGCTTTTTTAAAGAATGTTCTATTTTGAAGAAAGTTTTTGGACAGGAACTAGACAGTAGATTTTATTTGACATTTTTGAATATACGTGTACATATATAGGTACATCCGTACATTTATATATGAAATGTTTACAAATAGATATTAGTATTGTAATATTTACCCAATAGCTACGTGAGCAATAAATACTGATCAAATAAAAATAATATATTGTTGTTGGAATAATTAGCACATTGCGAATTTTGTTTGCTATTTATTATTTTTTTCCGAATTTCGATCTATCATTACTGGTTATCTTTGCTTGGATGGTTGTAGTATACATAAAGCAATAAATTATCAGAGTAGTAAAAAATTTATAAATTTAAAAATGACGCGAAAAGTGAGAGATATAAAAGAGAAAACGCAATACATGGGAGTGTCAATAAAAAAAAGCATAAGCAAATGCAAATATGTAGATATTGGCAACTTGCTTGATTAGCGTTAAAGTAAAAAAAATAATATTAGGCAAACAAAAAATATAAAACAATATTTATGATAATTTAATTATACATTAAAGCAAATTTATTCAATTTCGGTAACGATCAGCTAAATGCATGTATGT